AACTGCTCATGGGTATGTTAAGCCACTGCGAGCATGGTAAGGGACAAGGAGAAGCTTTAAAACATGACTCCACTAGCCTAGTCACACCCACAAGCTTACGCAAAACACTACACTCGACACATCGTGTATTAACCAAAAACCCAGGCTCAGGGGACTCCGACTTTGAACCCAGGGTTGCATCGGAGCCATAGATTAAATCATGCACAGCATATAGTATATGCTAGCAGTTAGAACCACTAGCCTTTCAAAAGGGGGAATCCGAATTGTGGATCCCTATCTCCATTCCATCATTTTTCTTATTAATACATAGCATTCTTTTTCTCATGCTTCTTCTCTGCCCTTGGAGATTGGGCTTTTTTCTCTTTTGTTTTCTTACTAACAATAGATTTCCAGCCAAGAGGAGTTTTCACACCTCTTCATTTGGCAACCATGGCTTTTGAATTCCCTTTTAGGTTCACAAATTCTTCCATTCTTTCTCCATTCTTTGTGCGCAGATAGCAAGAACGATCAAGCAATCTACCCAACTCGCCAAAATTCGCTACCCAATTTGCCACCCAATTTGCTACCCAATTCGCCACCCAATTCGCCCAAATTCAACAAACAAATGCCACCACCAATATGGATCAATGGCGTCCAAGTGATCGCCGCCCAACGCAGTAGAGGCAGACCCTTCTCAGAGGAGATCTTTGCAGAATCTGAAAGCTCTCTCACTCAATCTCTGAGTCCAATCACCAACAAAGACCACCAACAGCCCTCTTTGACAAGAAACTCCAATCTACCAGCACCTTCATCAGCGGACACCCTCAACAGCTTCATTGGCGAACTCCATCTCCGAGCACAAGACCACCCACTCCAAGCTCGAGACCTCAACCAGCGCGCTCGACACAAACCGACACCACTACTGAAACGAACTCATCTTCCGTGCAGTCGTCGACCCAGCAATCCTAGTGCTCCGACACAATTCCAATTCCTGCGTCCACTCCAAATACCGAAGCACATCCTCAGAACCTACACCAACAACGAACCCATCACTCTATTACCCGGTATCAGAGAACTTGTCGAGGGACAACTTGACAACGCACCACCAATTTTTCGACAACCCCTCCGATAGAGTCAGCAGCTCAGCACCAAAACAACAGTCCGAACTCGGTTCAAAATCAACACGTTCGCTGCAACAACTCTTGCCAATCACGCCATCACCCAATCTGGACTCGAACAACTCGACGACATTATTGAAGAAATCATTCCAGACAAACCCAAATATCCGAAACTCTTCATCAAACTCCATCTCGGCACCAGCAAGTGGAAGACCAGTCTGCATACTGCACCAGCACACTCGACCCAACACAACTCGGCTGAACACAACCCAACACGCACCACCGTCAATATTTGCATAGAAAAGAAATAACAACCTCACAACGACTTTATCGACAATTGGCCTGCCGACAGTCTTCCCGAAGTTCTACCCGAACTGCATGATTGACTGCAGACACAAATCTGACACCAACAACCAGTAGAAGAATGCATGTATCCAAAACCACGAAGAACATCGAGAAAGTCGGAAGAAGACCGACAACGGCTTATCCGAAGTTTAGATAGAGATTTGAAGAATTTAGAAACAAAGAGAAAGAAAGACTAAGAG